CAAAAGAGGTTCCACGAGCTTCACGTCCTCCATCAGTAGAATCCATTCTTGAGCTTATTAAACATTCTTCTTTTCCAGGTCCTAGCCCTGAGCACTGTTTCTCAGTCAATAGGACCCATTCTTATGATAAAGGTCTCAGATACTATAAAATAAACCATACATGGGGTATTTTGCAAAGAAATTTCTATGTAGCCATCTCTGAATTTTTGTTATAAGGACTATTACATGGAAACTTTTCCCCAAAAAATTCTACTGTGTTTAAATATGTAAGAAAATTGAACCATAGGATCATCTTCAAGGATAAGTTCCCTGTCAGTGGTGATACTTACAGTGACCCCCACTCCCCAACATTACTTGAAAATGATGAGGATCTTTTGGCTGTTAAGCGTTAAGAAATGCATAGCTAAAGGACAAGCAGCTGCGGAAACCATCTTTATTACCTTAGAGCACTGAGAATGCGTGTTCGCAACAAACCAATGGGAATGCCGTTCAAATCATCTTTATGTTTATTACTTCTAACTCACTACATATACACACTTTAAAATTTAGGTCCCTCTGTATCTCCTTTGGGAAAGACAGACAGAGCAGGAGAAAGAAAACATTACACAATAGTGCTAGGAGATGTCTGGAAAATAAGGGAAACTGAAGAATCGATGCAATTGCTGGTGAACCTGGCCCCTTAACAATCGTTCCACACTATCTTATCCACGCCTGCCCCTGCCCTCAAGACCGCCAGCTGCCTTCAGTACATAGTTCTCTTGATTTTGATGGTGGTGAGCTTGCCTTCCTTTCTCGTCAAGAGAATAGGACTTGAGTGTCACATTGCCGAGAAGTGTTCTAGGCTATGTCCGGTGTCCTCCCGGCCCACTCCATGGTGAATGCCAAGAAGTAAAAACCATCTCTTCCAGTGTTCGCTCCCCATCACTCAAGCCCAGAAGCTCCCGTGTCCACATTGTAGAGCAGAGACCAGTTCCCTTGCCTGCTCAATGACTTCCACACCATTCCTTGAAGATGCATTCTAGACCCAGTCTTAAGCCAGAAAGCCAGAGCAGAAGAAAAGCAGGTGATTTCAGGGACTTCCTGGAGCTAAGAAACCTGTGACCCAGTGATCTGTCTGAGCTCTGGTCAGCAGAGAAGGAAGATACAGATAAAGCAAAAATGAAACAGTGCCTTTGAAATCAGTTGAAAGCAATAAATCCCTTTCCCTTACTCTCTTTGGACCACAACTTCAGTTTCCAGGCTCTGAATTTTTTCATATCTTTGCATCTCCTGACTCTTAGTCCACTGAGACCCGATATTTGCTTAATCTTTTTCATGTTACTTTACTTAAACAGTTCAACTAAACTGGTTTTTGTGTGTTTTGGTGTTGTTCATAAACTTTGGAAAAATGCCAAGTGCACAGGGAGTAATCTAGAACATCCATCTTTTGATAGTATCCATCATTTTAAGAGTTCATAAAACATTATTGTCTGCAGAATAATAACACCATAGGCAATTCCCTTAAATGTGAAAAATAGATTAAATTCTTTTAGGACTATGGGTTCGGCATTTCGTCTTCCTGATAATTTCCAAAGATTTTTTTATACCAATCTTCATTTTGCTTAATATCAGCAATAATGGATTCCATAGTAGAACCAAACTCAATAATATTGTGAACTCCACTTTCATATTCACAAGTGAAGCCAGCAGTGTGCATGGCCACCAATGAACCATTAGAATCAAACACTGGGGATCCAGAAGACCCACCAAAAAAAGTGGTGTCATAGGTAACAACATCAGAGTTGTGAAGCAGTTTCTGGAAGCTTCTTTGGGTGTATAAGGGGACAAAAGACCAAGAGACATGGTCACCTGCTGCCTCTCTTGCCTGAACACTTTCCTCACATTTTCTTTCTCGATTATCTTGAGGGACTACTGTACAACCATCTTTAGACTTCTTTTCTCCATCTGGGTGGCCAATGATATAAATCAACCCATTAAGTGGCACAGGTCCTATCCCATTATACAGGTCGGCAGGTACCTCTCGTACATTGTCCTCTAGTTCTAGGACAGCATAGTCAAGATTTTCATTAGATATCTCAAACCAGGGTTTAACATTAAAAGCATTGTCTTCTCTTGGTGGGAACTCTTCATAATCAAAGATCACATTTACACATTGACTAATGGTGCTTGCCCACTTACTTGGCTCTACACCTTCCCCCACGATGTCAGTTATCACATGCCGACAAGTGAAAATGTACGGCTTTTTAAAAACAAAGCAGGTGGCACAGCCCTCGTTCCCATTGTTCTTCCACCACAGGAACCCAACTGAGTCACTGGCCTTTGAAAGACTTTTGAGCACTTTAACAGAAGTAGAATTTCTTGTCAGTTTCCCAAAGTTTTCTTTGTGCATTTTGAATAAGGAAGCTTTTTTCTTTCTTTTTTTACTTTTGTCCTTGATGTATGCTCTGAATTTTTCTCGTTGTTCTTTCAATATGGGGTATTGATCTACAATGTGTTCATCTACCTCATGAAAGCTTCTGTTCTCTAACTCAGAATCCTGAGTGATGGATGTTATCCTCGGGTTGTTTGTTTGCTCAACCTCGACCTGGAAGAGTTTGCCGTCTAACTCATCAACCGGCTGGGTGTTTTCTATGATGGTGTCCAATTCACTAATGAGCTTCCAATCGTCACTCTCTACAAAAGAAAGAAACCTGCCATCCTTCCTCAGAGTGTCCTTGATGGTCTCTCCTTTGAGGCCATAAACACAGAGTTTGTTCCCCTTTTGGCGAAGTTTTCCATTTTTCACAATCCTTTTTATCTTACTCCCAATTGCATGAATATAAAATCGGACATAACTGGTAGATGGTTGGTCCCATGGTTCAAACAATTGCTTATTATCTTCCGGCTGACTTTTACACGGCGAAAATGTAATGACCAAGTGGCAGCCTTCTGGAAAGCAGCAGAGGGGCATGCCAAGGTTTATGTACCCTTCGATTCCTTCTTTGCCACACACCAGCATTTCTTTGCCTTGTTGATTTTCTATCTCTTCTTTGACAGCATTGAGAGTGCTGAGTGCTGCATATAAGCTACTTTTCTCACTGTGCGTCAGCTCATGCTTCATTTTTTTGTTTTTTCTGCGGTTAACATCCAAAGTGATTAGAATTTTCTTATTTGGGGGAGGAATCTGATCTTGTTGAATTTTCTTAGATGAAAGTGGTCTTTGGTCCTGTGTGTTTGTTATATCTCTTGGCATTTTTCTAGAGATCCCTTTTACTTGAGAAGTACTGGAATCATTCTGCCCTTCTTTGGGGACCTAAAAATAAATGGTGAATACTTTGTAACTGAAAACTCCAGTCATATTTTTCTTTTTAGTGTCAACTCCCTTCATTTCTGTGGGAAATTTTTTAAATGCCAACTTCAAAAGACCAGTAAATAGAATTAAAACAGAGTTTATCTTGGGATCTAAAATACTACCTCAACTTGATATAACATCAGTCAGAAAAGTTCCTCATGTTACACATGGTGCGTTTTCTAACAAAGAGTAGGACAGACACAAGTGTAATCCAGCTACTCAAAGATCTACCAGCGTCCATGGATGGCATTTCAAGTTATTTTTATTATTTTCAGCAATAAACATTTTATCTTATCCAAGCACAAGGTATATTGCATAAAGTTTATTAAGCTATTTATTTATCATTAATTGAGATTTTTAAGATTTATTTATTTTATGTATATGAATGGTCTGCCTACATATATTTGTGTGCTCCATATGCAAGCCTGATGTCCATAGAGGCCAGAAGAAGGCATCAGATGCCCTTGAACTGGAGTCGCCAGGGTTTGTAAACCACCATGTGGGTGCTGGGAATCAAACTCAGTTCCTCTACATCAACAACAAATGCTCAGTAATCAGTGATTTATTGAGATAGAATCTTGCTATGTAGTTAAGACATCACTGGAATTCAGTGTGCCACCCAGGTTTGCTTCAAACTCATAATTTTCATATTTCCTTAATAGCTGGATTCAGGCAGCATTTATCATGAAATGACTAGAAGCTATTCCCTTTGTCTTTTTGCATGAGCTTATATATTTTTTGTAAATTTTCATCATCTCCCGTTTTTTTTTATAGGACTTTCATTAAGAACCAGGAAGGGGGAAATTTGAATAAATCAAATTCAGTAAACAGGAAAGTCTCAATGAAAATTAAAAAGGTCTAGGGCAGTTATTGTTTACTGTGCCTGACAGGCCCTCAGATCACCTGGGAGATGGGTCTCTGGACACATCTGTGGGGTGTTGTCTTGGTTTCATCAATTTCAGTGAGAACCAGCCTGAACCCTGCTGGCAACATTCCCTGGGTTAAATCCTGGACTATTTAAGATGATAAGGGGAAACTGAGCATGCATTCACTGCTCTCCACTACTGACTTTGTGTGCAATGTAACTAACTCTCCCAGGGACCTACTTCTGTGACTTCCTTGCCATGATGGATTGTAAGAAATTGTGAGCCAAACAAACCCTTCCTATTCTAGTTGCTTTGGTTGGGGTATTTTTATCACAGCAACAGAAAAAAAAAACTAAGACAGTAGCTGACAACTATGTCTGAAAGGGTCATTTTCCTTAAGTCATATTCATCATGAGAAAGATGTCAATACATAACCAGTTCACACGCCAGCGAAGTCACTCACTGGTAATGGAAGCAGCGATGTTGGAGCTTGGTAAAAAATTATATCTGTTATCAATTTAGTGACACTAACATTCTCAGTTAAACTGACAAAAAGAATGCAAGGCGATGTAAATCTAAATTCTATCCGGGCATAGAGTCTCTTTAAATACATTTCTGTAGTCTAGATTTGGTCAGAACCATGCTTTTCACTTCCACGGGAGTACTATAATAGACCTTTATATATTCAAATACTCCTAGATAGATATGGAAATTGTTATCAAATTTTTTCTTTCCTTTTTGAGGCATTCTATAGTTCACTCAGATATCAAATGCATAGTCCTCTATTCTCAGGCTTTGGAATGTTGGGATTACAGCATTGTGTCACCTTTCCTTGAAAGGGAAAGGGATCACATGTGTTTCTCCAGCTTGCTGTCACAGAGTTGCACAGAAATAAAGAGATCTTGCCTAGACATGAGTTTTCTAGTCATTTAGATGCCTTGCTTTCTAGAATCTAGACACAAATAAACAAGAAAAAGACTTTGAGTTTGTACATCAAGTGCCTGACACTTCTCAACTGTCTTGATATAATAAAGGAATATTTTAGTCTTGGAGGACACAATTGTTTGTCATAACAGAGCTTGAAACTAGGAGGTTCTGAATATCTCAGCAGACTTGCCCAAGTCTTTATCATGGGCTCAAGCACTCTGCTCTCTCTTTTGTTTTCATACACAAATGAGAACCAACCTTCCTCACTTGCCTACGAAGTTTATAGTAAGAATAAATATACAAAAACCTTTGTAAACTATAAAGTACCAAGCAAATATAGGCTGGTATGATTGAAGGGACCAATCATACTCAAACATTTCAGTGCTATTAAATAGTATTAATTTTGTTTCACAGATTGCTGTGACATTACATTTGATCTTATAAACAGTATTGTCCGTTCCACAGGTTTATATAACATATTACATTTGATCTATTTTATTAATGTTTCAGATATGTTTGCAACTTTTTTATAAACACTGCTTTGATATAGCTAAAATCTGTATTACAATTCCCCATCTTTGCTGCCATTCACCAAAATAAAGTAGTTGAGAAAGATCCTAGAGTATGTCATTGTCCCAATCAACAATAAGTCATTTTCTTGGCAGTAGGTCCTATGTGACCTAAGACCCATGATGGCTAAGACTGCTACTAGTATATCTTACAACAAAATTTATAGACATACCTGAGGGAAAAAGTCAAGGATTTTTTTATTTTTCCTTGCATTAAATGGGATCGTCTGTGATCTGCGCTTCTTAGAGCTCATGGTGAATTTGAGATGAGGCAGGTGACTCAGCTGAAACACAAACTTCAAAATGGCTCATGTTGAGTTGGGAATTTAGTTCAGTGGCAGAATGCTTGTCTAGTAAATGCAAGGCCCTAGTTCAGTCCTCAGCTCCGAAAAACAAGAAAGAGGGGGGACGAGAAAGAGGAAAAGAGGTTAGAAGGGAGGGAAGGAGGGAGGGAGGGAGGGAAGGAAAGAAAGACAGAAAGACAGAAAGACAGAAAGACAGAAAGACAGAAAGACAGAAAGACAGAAAGA